TAGATATAAAAGAAGAAAAGTACCTGGTCTGACAGCACATTGAAGGAAGCATTGGCTGTCCACAGAACAGAAAGGAGACGGGGAAAGGATGAGCAAGTGGAAGGGTACATAAAGCTCAAAGAAGGTGGCCTAGTGCCCAGGTCTTGTTTCCAAAATACCATTTATTAAAAAAAGAAAAAGAAAAAGAAGGGGAAACCAGAGCTCACTGGAGAAGTAGTTGATTCCAGGACTGGGGCAGGAAATATCTTGTGCTACAGAAAAGTAAAAGTGTGCTCAAAACAAGAAGGGGGCAAGTCGGAGGACACAGGATCCAACCTGGAGGAGCTCCCACGGGCCAAAGCTAGAACAATTTGAGCAACAAAGTAAGTAGGTGATAGTGCTGAATTATAATCTATAGACAAAATACAAAATTATTATTAGGTAAACACCACAGTAATAACTGTGCAGGTAAGATCCACTGATGGATGATAAAAATCAGTGGGCAAAAGTCTGAGGAGAAATAGGATATTAGCAAAGTCTCACTCCCAAGACAGTTACCAATTACAAAGGGAAAAACAGTGACTTTTCACAGGAGAAATCTGGTAGACACCATGTTAACCAAATGATCAAGGATACCCATCCACCAATAATGAGACATATTGACATCACGTACCTCCTGATTCTATGAATTGAGAAGGACACAACATCACCTCTGTGGGTACTTTTGTCAAATATTCATAACTTCAGTGTAATCATGAGAAAACATCAGAAAAAAAAAACAAATTGAGGGACATTCTGCAAAGCAACTGAGCAGAACTGTCTACACCGTCAAGGTCATGAAAGGCAAGGGAAGACTGAGGAAGTCACAGGCTGGAGGAGAATAAGGAGACGTAATGGTTAAATGCCGAGTGGGATCCTGGATAGCATTGAGGAGCAGAATAAAGAACACTAGGAGAAAAAATTGGTAAAAATTACATAAGGTCTGTAATTTAGGTGATAGTATTGTACTCATGTTAATTTTCTAGTTTTGATATTTGTACTATAGTTAAACATGTTGTTAACATTAGAGGAACCTGGATGAAGGGTTTACATGAACTATATCTACTGTTTCTGCAACTTTTCTGGTAAGTCTACATTATTTTAAAAGAAAATGTAAAACAAAAAATAGCAAAGTGGCACAGATTCAAATATCTTCTGCCCACCCCATCCAAAACTGCTTCTTCCCTAACACTGCTGTCTTCCTTCTCCTCTATATTTTTCCTCCCGTTTACTGCTACCTAAAATAGCAAACATTTTACTTATTTATGTGATTGTCATTTACTGCTACCTAAAATAGCAAACATTTTATTTATCTGACTGTCTCATTTATCTGATTTACTTGTCTTATTTATCTGATTATCTGCTTATTTACTTATTTATCTGATTGTATTTACTTATCTGATTATCTCCCCCACCAAAAAATAAGCTCTATGAAGACAGGCATTTTTGCCTATTTTGTCCATCGCTGTATCTACCATCTAGTGTGGTGCTTCTAACAAGTCCCCATTTCCTCTTTAGAGCATTTCATTCATCTTCTCATCACATTTACTACTAAGTAACTACGAAGTACAAGACTTTGAACTAGGCATCAAGGGGATGCAGATAAGCAAGACATGACCCCTCTTCTCAAAGACGTTACAGTTGAGTGGGAGAGAAAAAACATCTGAACAACTACATACAGGGTGGAAGGGGATGGGAGTCCCACCAAATTAAGTATCAAATGCTGTGGGCATTTAGAGAAGGGAGGCCCATGTAGGGTGAGAAGTAAAAGAAAAAGTTTCATAGAAGTTCTCAAACTCAGCAAGGCCTCTGTATACTTAGAATTTGGAAAAGCAAACAGCAAAGGGGTGAGGGACTGATATACTGGGAAGAGAGAACTGGGTAAGCAAATCCAAACTCCAAACATGCAAGAAAGAAGAAGAAAAAGGCACAGAGATCATTCTGGTTGGCTGGAGCACTGGATGGGGAAAGGGAAGTATGGAGAGCAAAGACTGGAACAGCCGCTGGGGGCTGACTGTGCACGGTCTAGCGTTCCAGTCCAAGGACTCCAGACTTGATCTGGTAGCAACAGGCCACTGACCTCTAGGTAGTTTGGAAGAGGAGGAGGGTGTTACTAGAGCTCTGCTCTACAGAAGTTCTTCATGGAATTTTAGAAGATGAAGTCTAGACTCAAGGATTTCAAGGGATCTTTGGGATCATCCTCTGTAACTTTTTATAATAGGAATTCTTTCAACCGCTTTTCCTATGTTATGGAATTGAGTCGCCCTGCCATCTGGTGCTCTTCTTACACTTACCATCCAGACTTTATGGTGATTATTTTGTGATTTCATGGAGCCACGTATGGACTGCTGAGTGACTCACATTGTCAGGAAACAACTCCTTAGGATAAACTAATACCTGTCCTGGTTCAATTTCTACCCACTGTCCTCTGGCCTACAATGAACTGCTTAGTTCCTCTTTTACAGAATCATCCTTAAAGTAGTTAAACACAGTTTTTCTATTTTCCCGAAGTCCTCTCTTCTCCAGGCTATACATCCTCTCTTCCTCACTGTACTTGAATTACAGGTTCTTTCTAATAACTTCGCCTGCTTCTGCACACAGCTTGGTTTACTAATGTGATGCTCAGCCACATTGCTCCCATATCCTACAGTGCTCTTTGGAACACCTATTTCAGGCTTGTTAAATATCCCTACATTCTCAGTGCCTGCACGGAGTCTTCTGTCCTTACTTTTTTAAGTGAAACTCAGCTCTCCCCTTGGGACTCTGGTTCCCCCGGACACTTTGGAAGTTAGAAGCTGCTCATTCTTTCACATTCCAGACTTTAGGGTCTGGAGGTGGGGTTGATGCTTTGCTTTCATTATTAGTTCATGATTGCTTCCTGGCTATTATTCCTCTACCCTTAAACAGAAAGTTCTGCTCCTATGAGGCTGGTACTAGCTTCCTCTGGTCCATGCAGCTGCCACTTACTGCCTTCTAGGCTCTGGTCCTGTGGACTCCAGCATCTGGCTCACGGTCTTTCTCGCCACCCCATGGCTTATTACCCTGAGGGACTATGAAGCCTACGTGAATGACCCACCCTCAGCTTCCCATTCATGAGCTGGCTCAACCACACTGACTTCCATTCATAGGCATAGCACTTGGGACCCTCGCTCATGGCCAAAGCCAGACCGTGTCATCACTGAGATGTGCTCCACTTCTGACGTCTTCAGTCTAAATATATTGTTCTTCGGCCCCATCTCCATGACTTCCACCGTACCTGCTCTTCGCCCCTTCCCAATGCCTCTGTGTCCCTCTCCTTCCAGCCTCCTGATAGCTCCACTTCTCTTTCGGCTTAGCTTAGACACCAAGATCCACCACTTCCTGGGAGCAGCCACTCTAATCTTCATGGATTTCTGTACCGGTTCCCATGGAGTAGTTCAAGTAAACTGGAAAAAGTGCACACGCACACGCACATGCCCTCGAAACAAAATAAACCCTCTGAAGTCTTACTTTATGTAAGAGTGGAAACCATATGAATTCCTTACATTTAGAGAACTGTCAGGAAGCACGGCAAGTCCAAGCGGGAAGGTCTGGGGAGCTGTAGTCAGTGTTCATGTTACTGCCACATGGTGGTGCCATTCCAGCCGATGAACGCAAACCCCGCAGCTCTTGTCCTTCCCACGCTCTAAGTGGTTATGATGACTCACGTGCTAGTATTTTACAAACTCTGTTGTTAAAACTGAAAATATTTTCCTCTCCTACCACAATCTCTCACAAGCATTCATAAGCAGTGCTGTTCTGTGATAGTGCTGGAAACACGGCCCCCCCAAACAGTCACTCTGGGACAGAAGTTCGTTCTGATAAAACACTGTGATGAAGAAGGCCACACATCCACTAGGATGCCCTGTATTTTTAATTTAGGAATGAACCCTCTAAAAAAATTAGAGGTGATGAAGGCAAAAATTAACAAGAAGCATTAAAGCAAAAATAGGCTATAGTGCTGTACATTCCTGTGCCCCCACAGAGTATTCCCTTCACATCTTTTCTTATGAGAAAATTAGTCTTGGGGTACGAGTTTTATATCATGAGATCACTTTGGAAACACACTGACATGCAAATGGAAGTGTGTTTTGTTGTTGTTTTTTTTTTTAATTTGCAGAGAGAGAGAGAGAGAGAGAGAGAGCGCGCACATGAGCAGGGGGCGCGGCAGGCAGAGGGAGAGGGAGAAGCAGGCTCCCCACTGAGCAGGGAGCCCAATGCGGGACTCGATCCCAGGACCCTGGGATTATGACCTGAGCTGAAGGCTGATGCTTAACTGACTGAGCCACCCAGGTGCCCCTGGAAGTGCCTTCTTAAGATACAACAGTTCCCCTACCTATCCAAGAAATGCTTCTCTTTCCAGAGCCACATGCAGGCAGGCAGTGAACAGTGTGGGGATTCGGAGCGCAGACTTTGGAGCCAGCCTGCCTGAGCATGAATCTCTCAGTTCCACAGTTTTCTAGTTGTGTGGTTTTGGGTAAGTCATTAACCTCTCTGTGCACCTGAAAAGTTAGGGCAACGCACTACCTACCCTCTAAGGCTCGTGAGGCTGGAATGAGTTAATAACTAAGACACTTAGAGCTCCACGGAGCACTGAGTACACACCACGTGTGGGCAACACCTCCACCAGCAGTGCCTTCCCATCAACCCTTGATACTTATAAGACCGAATTATTTCACTGGGTCAAAAAAAAAAAAAAATAAGGTGCTTCTTTATTCACAGTATATGAATTACTCACAGTATATGAATGTGTTAGTCCTTCTTTGGCTGTTTTCTTTGGGAAGACTGTCAGACTCCCTCTGCAATGCTGTTCTGTGTACCAGTATGAAGTAGAGGAGGCAGTATTTAAAGAGCCTTTTCTAGCACAAGTACTAGTAAGTGGGGCGACTCTGACTAGAGCCTGCTCAGACATGAACGCTTAGCCCAAGCGATCCCCCAGTGCGGGTTTCCTTCCCCGGTCTTACCTTCAGCCGGTCTTTGGGCAGCGCGACAGCCCCCTGCTTGATGATTTCCAGGACCCGTTCCACTGACAGCTCAGCTCCAGCCTGCAGTAATCGTGAGCTGAAGAAGGTGATCACCTGGAATGGAAAGTATTCTTTTTTAAACAAGTAGATGTACAAGCCGTGTTTTTAGGAAGTGCCTTGCTCACATGGTGGTCCCACTTCCTGGAGTGACCTGGCTTGACTTCATGAGCTCTCCTCCACGCGGGCCTGTCTGAAGGGGTCTGATGACTGCGTCAGAGCCTGCCTCTGACCACTCCAGGCTGATGACCCACATCGTGGCTTCGGCAAGCCTCTGGAGTTCTGCTCTTCCCAGGTGCGGCCTCACCTCTCATTTATTTAGATTTCAGTTAGATGGCAGCCCCCCTCAGAAGGTGGGAAGAGAAAGCTAAAGCTTAAAACCTGTCAATTTTGAGGCTTACTAGTAACTCTCAAAAAAAAAAAAAAAGGCTTAGAAAGAATTTGAAGCTAATGGCTAAAATGGCGTTTGGGGGATCATTTATGAATTTAATTTATTCACCACACTCTTATCCCTGAGCAACAGGGATAATGAACAGCAAGCTAGAACTTCCTTTGTTTCGTGTCCCAGCACAGCCTGAATTGTGTAGCAAGATGCTAATAACACAGGAGCATTCTGAACATAACACTGTCCCTCAAAACTAAAAGAATGTCATTATTTTTTGAGGAAATCATTTTAAGATCATGATGTTAATAAATCAAGAAGACTATACATCTTTTTTTTATTCAAGAGAGTAACACTTAAGTATTTATAGTCAGACATGCAAAAATATAAAAATGTTTTGTTAAAAAATTAAACATTTCCATTTATAGGTTTTCTATTTTATATGTAAAAGACAAAAGGTAGTTTAAAAAGATTACCTAACTGTAGAAACAAGATAGTTTATACTCATTAAAATATCATTAAAACTAACCTGGATGATTAGCTATCCTATGTCTTACTAATCCTGAAGGCTTCACATTATCAACAGCAAACACAGTATTGGTCACAGTAAGAACACTGTTTATCATAGTAAACCTAAATCCATAATGCAGACATGCTACTTGATAATTTCTGTGCATCCGGCTCTGGTGAGATGAGACTGGTTCATCACTACTTCTACCCTGTAATGTAGCACCTGTTCTAGGATGAGGGGGACATCAGCTCTGCCATTTCCTTCTTGTCACGTGTACTTGTATTGCCTTTGATTTGTGGTTCTTTTGCAGGAACCATACCAATCCTCCATTTTAGAGGGTTTACTTAGTTAAATCTCGATATTATAACCAACAATAATATACATTACAAGGACCTATAAGTGAATGAAAGGTGAGTGTGCCAGCCAAGCCTTCCAGGTTGAGAAATCCCCTCTCCTCCTCAGGATACCTGGAGTACCATAGCTGACACAGCTAAAGCCTGGCAGTTTGCCCGTGCCAATACTAAGAATTAGGAAAACTCATTCTGTTTATTTTTAGACGAAGAAAGAAAAACTCTGATACTATCTTCCCATGCTTCTATGGACTGTGGGTGCAACCTCTGGGGTCTGTGTACCCATCCCCTTTGGAGCCTGCTGATGGAGATAACAAAATGTGTATAATCAAAGCTAAGTAGAGCCTGCACAGTGTTCAAACATGGATACTTCAGACCACCACAGAAGAGTACTGGCATGTCACGTCATCAAAGGAAGTAATGCAATGGGAATCTACTTTGGTTTACTCTGTGGTCTACACAGACTTGCCTCTAAGCCTCAAGGAACTCGTGTTCCCACCGGGAAAGCTGTGGAGTAGGCAAGAGACTCAGTTTCTAAGTAAGTTCCTTTTTTCAAACTGGCTCTCATTTGTATGTCCTAAGCTGATATTCAGTTCTTGAATCTGAATGCACAGGACTTTAAAAAATGATAAAACTACCAACTTCCAGGAGAGAAGTAAATTTATGTATTAAAAACGAAGGGAATGGACATCTACTGCATGTTTACTATGGACCATGTGCTCCTCTATTAATTAATCCTCATCACGATCCAACGAGCTCATAAAAGCTCTGTCCTACAGATGACTCTACAGGATCAGAAAGAGAGCAGCTTGACCCAAGTTAGCCAGGTAAGTGTCCAGAGTGGGTCTGGTACTTGGATGTTCCTTCTTTACCATGTTGGTCTCCAGCAATTCTTGAGTAACAAAAGGTTTAGTTTTCTTAATGGAAAATATTTGAGGTGAAGGGAGTCAGGCTGCAACACTAGCAAAGAATGTGAAACAATTTATTCAAAGATACAACTTATATTTCCTATCACACAGTTAGAATTCTGTAGACAACAGTATATTTAGTGATAATGACTTTAACAGTTAGGTGGCTTTTATCAACTTTCATAGGAACCATTAAAATTGTTAAGATTGACGAACTTTTCCCCCTCTGAAAATGTCTGCAGAAGATACAGTCAATAATAGAAAAAATTTAGAGTGAAACCTTTAGCGAAATGGGAATGAATGATATGTTAGTGCAATTCAAAGGCAACCTTTTAGAGGAAGGTTCTTCTCTGTGGGTGTTACACAGCTTCCCTCCACCCACCATATTTGGCCACAATTCCTGAAATCTAAGTACAGCACATTACCTTCAATTATGCTATTAGTTGTGAACAGTAATTATTCCAAAGTCATGTTCTGATTAATCAGCTGCACCCTTTGAGTAATGTCAAAATCACATTTAACCACTTACTATGAAACCTGTGAGTGATCACTAGAACACAGATTTATAGAAAGGAGAAGCTTAAAAAAAAAAAAAAAAGAAAGAAAGAAAGAAATGATAAGCTTTTGTAGGGTAGATGAGGGTATGTATTAGACAGCCATTCTTGCTTGCTAAATGGCCATTCTTCCAAGAGGTAAAAGTAGAGAGCTAAGCAGTTTTCTTTTCTTTTATAAAAGACAATAAATGTTTTGAAAAGTAAAATACACATGTGTTTTCTCATTGATTCTTGGGTTTTCCTCAAGTTTTTGTGTCTTAATCAATACATGTGTTAACAACCTATTCAGCGGGAGAGATCTCTAGAAGATTTACAGAGAAAATAGATATTTTCAAGAAAGACACAATGTAATTGGAGGATAAGAAGCAGATTAAACAGCCATAATTAAACAGATTAGACATCATGGTAGTGTAGACTGTGAAGTGTTCAAAGTCAGAAGGCATAGTTTGGGTCCTGCCTCTGATACTTACGAGCTACCTGTCTTATGAACTCAGGTTCTCCCACATGCAGCATCATGCAGTGGCTTAGAACACCTACCAGGTGTCAGAGGCTTGGGTTTAATTCCCAGCTCTGCTTATAAATGTAGACAGGTTATTTAACTTCTCTATGCCACAGTTTCCTGATCTATAAATGAGGAAAGACAGAGTGCCTGCCTCACGGAGGGGGTACTGTTAGAATTAAATAAGTTAATACCTTCAAAGTGCAAAGAACAATGCCTGGCACACGGTAAGGGCTCATGAAATGTCAGCTTCTGTCATTATCATTAGGTGTTATCTCAATATCTTCATTTAAAAATGAAAAAGTTGCCCTACCTACCACATAGGAAACAATTATAATACATGTGAAACTTAAAGATAAATCAAATCAGACAGGAGTAGCAAGCATGATCTACTGAAAGTAAATTCTAGGAAAGTCTGCTGGTTAAAACCAACATGATCATTATCAGTTTAATACATTACTGACGGTCACTTTTAAACTCTTCTATTTTTACTTGGTGAATTTATGTATAACCTTCCTCTTTCAAAAAAATTTGTATTTTATTATTTCCAGAAAACTTAAACAGTACAATGTCGAGGAAGTTTTCATAGTTTGCAAAGTTTTCTTTTATCATGAAAGAATGCTGAATTTTGACAAATGTTTTTTCTGCATGTATTGAGATGATTGTATGGTTTTTATTCTTTAGTCTTTTAATGTTGTCAATTACATTAGCCTTGAATTCCTGGGATGCATGATAACTGAGCATGCTGCATTATTCTTCTGATACATTGTTAGATTTGATTTGTTAATATTGTGTCGAGGATTTTTTGTGTCTGTGTCTATGAGTGATATTGACTTACAATTTTCTTTTCTTGTAAGGTCTTTATTTAGGAGTGGCATTAGGGTAATAATGTCCTCATAAAATGAGTTGGGAAGTATGTCCTCTTCTTGTATTATCTGGAGGAGTTTGTATTGAAATAGAAATATTTCTTTCTAGGGTGAAGACATCCAGGCCTGGAGTTTTACTTGTTGGAAAATTTTTAAGTACTAATTTGGTATCTTTTAAAGATATAGAACTATTCAGATTATCTATTTCTTCATGAGTAAGCTCTGAAAGTTTGTGCCTTTGAAGGTATCTGTCCATCTCATCTAATACATCAAATTTATTGCCAGAAACTTATTCATAATATTACCTTATTAACCTTTCAATGTCCCTGCTATCACTCCTGATACTGGTAATCTGTGTTTTCTTTCTTCTTCTTCAATTAGTCTGGCTACAAACTTATCAGTTTTATAGTGTTAGGTTTTTTTCTCTCTCAAACAACCAGCTTTTGGTATTACTGATTTTCTTTTCTTTCTTTTTCAATTTCATTGATTTTTTGTTCTTACTTTTATTATTTCTTACCTTTTTCTTGCTTTGGGTTTAATGTACTCTTTGTAGTTTCTTAATGTGGAATCTTATTTATTTAAGACCTTTCTTCTTTTCTAATAGAAGCCTTTAATACTATAAATTTCCCTTTAGCTGTATCCCACGAATTTTGATACACTGCATTTTCTTTTTTGCTAACTTTATTATTATTTTTTAAATATTTTATTTATTTATTTGACACACAGAGACAGCTAGAGAGGGAACACAAGCAGGGGGAGTAGGAGAGGGAGAAGCAGGCTCCTGGCTGAGCAGGGAGCCCGATGCGGGGCTCGATCCCAGGACCCTGAGATCATGACCTGAGCTGAAGGCAGGCGCTTAACAACTGAGCCACTCAGGCGCCCCTATTATTACTATTTTTGCTGTTTCCTTCCATCTTTATTTTTTTTTAGTTTTAAATTTTTTGAACTTTAAGAAAAATATTATTATGTTCAGTTAGCCACTGTATA